CAACACTGGAAGTTTTTAAGAAGATGTTGGATAACCCTTTGTCTGAAGTGGTGTAGGGTTTCCTGCCTAAGCAGGGGGTTGGACTAGAAGACCTCCAAGGTCCCTTCCAACTCTGTTATTCTATCCTAACTCTGTTCTCCACCCTTGACACATGGGTACATTGTCATCCAGCCAGCAGCACCCAAAATGCAATTTATAGTTCCTACAGCGAAGCCCAGCGCCTTTAACGGTGACATGTTTTTATTGCATGCTGTCACCAGAATAAAGAATATATTCGCCAGTGGCTGTTTGATAAGCAGAATTGTAGTTTGTGTCAAAATTGTGACTGATGTAGACAACGTAGCAAGCAAGGAACATCTTTTCTCAGTCATAATTTACAGGGTCTTCGTCTGGAAAGTTTCCAGCGATCTGATTTATTCTCACAAGGACTTGCCCCAGAAGACAAACTCAGGATCCAAAAAGATCTTGACAAACTTGAACAATGGGCTCTATCCAATCAATTGAATTTTAATGTGGAGAAAACCAAAGCTTTACACATAAGCAGGAAAAACCCAAGATTAGGTGAAATCTGGCTCAAAAACAGTAACTGTGAGAGGGACCTTGGAGTCTTAGTGGATGATCATTTGAATATGAGCCAGCAATGTGCGGCAACAGCCAAAAAAGCTAATACTGGATTGTATAAACAGAGGCATAGAATCAAGATCCCCTGAAGGATTAGTGCCGCTTTACAAAACTGTAGTAAAGCCACACCTGGAATACTGCGACCAATATTGGTCAGCATACTACAAAAAAGATGTTGAGATTTTGGAAAAAGTTCCGAGAAGAGCAACTAAGAGGATCAAAGGCCTGGAGACTAAAACATATGAGGAAGGCTATTGCTTAATGCATTGTAAGCCGCCCTGAGTCTCCGGAGAAGGGCGGCATATAAATCAAATTAAAAAAAACAAAAAAAAAAACCCAGCCGTGTTCCTAACTTAACAGCTGTGGTGATTCACTTAGCAACGATGACAAGAAAGGTCGTAACAGCATAGCAACAGAAATGTGGGCTCGGTTGTGGTTGTAAGTAGAAGACTGCTTGTAAACCCAAAGAACTGAATTGTGCAAAAGTGCTTGAGAGGAGTAGTTTAAGCTTCATTCAGTTAATCAGTCAATGGTTACATTCAGCGTACTTAAGTTTGGTTTTTTTTGAACAATTTTTTTTTAAACAAACATACATAAAACCATCTTCAATTTCAAACAGTTTGTCGGTTGGTTACAAGTCTTTTATGCATCATTCACCAAATTCATAGCTTACAATTTTACAATTTACCTAAATTCTCATATCATCGACCTAATAAATATCTCTATATTATTATCCTCGTTAATCATTTATTCGACTATGGCTATTTCTTCCCTCATTATTTTTTCAAAATATTCTAAGATTTGAGTTAATTTTTATTATAACCTTCATTTCGTCCTCCTGAATCTATCCAGTAATAATACCTCTTTATGTTATATTTCACAGAGTTCTACCATTCTTGTCTTGTGAAGTTCTCTACCATATTTCAATTCCATATTTTTTTTTATCTAACCATTGATAAAATAGGTCCCATATCTCATAGTATAGTTTGTCTTCTTGTTCTCTAATTTCAACAGCGTACTTAAGTTGATTGTGGGAATTAACCCATGGACCGGATTGCCTAATACACGGAGCCATAAACTAATCCCAAAGATTGCATGGGCAAACGGCGGTAAACCAAGAAAACATGACTAAACATAGCAGATGGTGACGGCGCCTGTGCTAGCTTTCCCTCCCACTTCACGTGGTTGAACACCGGGTGTGAAAAAAGCGGAGCACAGCATTAAAAACTTGAGCTCAGGAAATCTCTCCCCAGCTGAGCCCTGCCCAGAATAACTCTGAACCAGAATAATAGAGCTGGAAGCAGTGGTGAAGTCCAAATTTTTTTACTACCGGTTCCGTGGACGCGGCTTGGTGGGCGTGGTGTGGCTTAGTGGGTGGGGCAGGAGAAGGATAGTGCAAAATCTCCATTCCCACCCCACTCCAGGGGAAGGATATTGCAAAATACTCATTCCCTCCTCATTCCTGGGGGAAGGATATTGCAAAATCTCCATTCCCACTCCACTCTGGGGCCAGCCAGAGGTAGTATTTGCCGGTTCTCCGAACTACTCAAAATTTCCGCTACGGTTCTCCAAATTGCTCAAAATTTCCACTACCGGTTCTCTGAACTGCTCAAAATTTCCGCTACCGGTTCTCCGAATTGCTCAAAATTTCCGCTACCAGTTCTCCGAATTGCTCAAAATTTCCGCTACCGGTTCTCCGAACTGCTCAAAATTTCTGCTACCGGTTCTCCAGAACCTGTCAGTACCTCCTGGATTTCACCCCTGGCTGGAAGGGACCTTGGAGGTCTTCTAGTCCAACCCCCTGCTCAAGCAGGAGACTCTATAACACAGGGCTGTCAAAGTCCCAGCCTGCGGGCCAAATGTGTCATGCGCTGGCCACACCCACATCCGGTTTAACGAACGGGGGGGGAAGCCCCGATACCAGTGGTAGGTTGCTCCCAGTTCTGTCCAGTTTGATAGAACCAGTAGTAAAAGCGACGGGAGGCTCTGCCCACCCGCCCTGATGTCATAATTGATGATCTGCACTCCCGTTGCAAACCTAATTTTGATGACGGCCCTCAGGAATCTAGGCCTCACGGCTTAGATTTTTGATTTTGACTGTTTTCCACGCGAGACCCAACTAGCGAGTTTGAAATGTTTGAAATAGCACAGGGATGGTGCGGTATGTTGGAGAGAAGCAACAGCCACCAATCTGCATGCATTTCCCACCTGATGTCTATTTCCACTAACTCTCTCCTCTGTTTGTTTTTTTTTGCTCTTCCTTTTTGTAGCGTATAGGCGGTGACCCCAGAAGTTGCCGGAAGATGAAGCAATTTCCAAAGGGCTACAGAAGATCTCCTTCCTCAGGAAAACAAAAGCCATTTCCTCCCCGCTTCCGTCTGAGCCCCTCCACTCCATCTCTTTCTTTATACTGTAATATAATTATTCAAACAATTCAGTATCTACAATAAAATGCTTTTATGCTACAGGACCGTGACCTAAATTGCCGGTTGTGTGGACGAAATTATGTGGGCCAGAGGAAAGATGTGGAAAGTTAAGAGTAGAGTGAATCTGGCCCAAAAAAGATGCTTCTTTGATTTGTCCGTGTGATGGACATGGGGGTGTTGGCAGTGGTGGGTTCCTCCCGGTTCGGCCCGGTTCGGCCGAGCTGGTAGCGGTGACGATATGATGTCACTGAACCGGTTCTCTTTGTTCAGGAGCTGGGCCCTCTCACCCCCCCTGGAGGCACCATGGGTTGGTTCTTCGCTGTTTCCAGGGTGGCCCTGTGGGCCAGATCTAAATACCCTGCAGGCCGGCTCCCGCTCCTTGGGCCTTGCGTTTGACACCCCGGATCTAGTTAAACATTAGTCTTCAATTCTGAATTGACATTGCAATATTTACATCAGCATATGCAAAATGTTCTTTCAGCAGCTCCTTCGGCCATATGCAAACAACCAGCGTAGATTAAGTGTCTAACCAGCCACCAAGATTTTCTGAGCGGAGCAATAGAATTCCAAAGTCTCAAGAAGAGATCATTTCCCGTCATCTTTTTGCATTCAATCTTTCTCCCGGGAAGCAACCAGGGGTTGAACTTTGGACACCTGTAAACAAATTCCAGGCTCTGCTGCTCATCTTGGCCTGCCATTAACCTCCTTGTTATCTAGGGGGTCCTGCAGAACAAGAACACGAGTGTTGGAGAAAAAGTGTTTTTGCAATTCACACTAACAAATGTTTAATCCAGCATTCTCCACGGGCAAACAGAGGTGAGATGGGGATTATCCGGGAGCCGACATCAGATGACAAGGATTTGCCCTGATTAATAACTGAATTGGAAGTTCAACCGAACTTCTCCAGAATTCCTGACACCTTATAATCAAGGAACTGCAAAACTTGCATTGGCATCCTTCCGTCTCAAGAGACTATGGGATCGTGCTCTGGAAAGAGGTCCTAAAAGAGCATCTGGTGTGACTAAAAAGGCCAATTCGAGAGTGGCCATCCCTTCCACACTGAAGGCAGATATATTCTGTCCTCTGCCCAGCCTCCAGATTTCGCTGGTTCCAGGACTGCGTCTTTGCCTCAAGTGTCTCTTCGAATTGGAGAAGGCCATGCTACGTCTTTAGCTTCCAAGCTGAACGATCGGAGGCCAAGGTTTCCCAATTGTTAATGTCCATTCCCAGGGCCTTTAGGTCCCTCTTGCAGATATAAATAAATAAATAAATAAATAAATTTATTGTCATTGTACGCGTATAGACAGTATACCCATACAACGAAATTCACTTAACACCCAAAGACCAGGTCCAACACACATAACAATCCCCAAACACACTCCCACCCACCACAAATTCCCCACCCCTAAGCCACCCAAACATCCACACAACAGACCAAGTAATGCTGTCCGACAGCTCACTGATGGTGGCCCTTTAGTTCATGGTTGAGTGCAATTATAGCTCTGGGATAAAAACTATTCAGAAAACGTGTGGTCCGAGTTTTCATTGTTCTGTATCTTCTGCCAGAAGGCAACAGTCCAAAAAGATTGAAAGCAGGATGGGAAGAGTCTCTGAGAATGCAGTATTCTAGGTGTAATTCTAGGTGTCTTACTAAGGCTTTATAGAGTGGTAGTAGTACCTCACCTTCCAACTCTGTTATTCTGAATTCTGTATTCCTTTTGTTTTTTTATTCTTATCGAACGAGTTGGCAGTTTTTGCCTTTAATGATTCACTCTGTAGATTTTTCCATCCCTTCTGAATTCTTTTCTGAATTTGGCCTATTGAAGGTGTTATCAGCGCACCTCCCAGATGTTTATTCAGCTCCACTGATCATTGATCAGTGACATTCAACAGGCCAAAGGTCTGGGACTAAGGAGCAGAGGAAACACTTCGCCTAATCAAGATCTACTAATAGTTGCTAGTAAGGTTGTTTTGGTCAGCAATTTCTGTGGGGTTCTGAGCTTGACTTCACCCCAAATTCAGTAGGCTACAAATTCCCAAGTCTGGCTGTCAAATCTCATAAGGATGGAGAATGCTACACATCATGCGAAACAGAAGCCGGCATTCACCCTGAAGAGATTTCATATTTCTGAAGATTATGGTTTCCTTCTTCCAAATCCACTGGTAAGTACATCCTTTTGCCAAAAGCTAAAGGTGTGAGAAGAAGGAGAACATTTTTCTGATGGCTGGACGGAAGTAAGTAAACTGGAAGCTTTCAAGAAGAGACTGGACTGCCAGTCCAGGGCAGGGGCAGACTAGATGACCTACAAGGTCCCTTCCAACTCTGTTAATCTGTTAAAATCTCCTTCAAAAATCACTACCCGGTTGTAATTTTTAACCACACAGTTAAACATTGTTAAATTACGCGAAGAGTAATTTTATTAACCGTGCTTCATTCATTTAATCTGAAATAACCTTTGTCGTGGCTGCTTGTGCATACCAGTCCTAGCCCAAATTCCTGTCCATTTTTCCTCAGTAATCCTTAGTTCTAGTCCTAGGGAGAAGTTGTGTTGTGCCACTTGGGATTTTTTTTTTTTTAAGGGGGCAGAAGGACTGAAACTAGTAGCTTTGCCAGCAGCTTCTGCAAGGGAAGCTAAGAATTTGGAAGGTTAGAGTGTGGTTGCAGCAAGTCCTGCTCCCCATTAGAGGGAGAAACAGGTAGTCCTCAAGTTACGACCACAATCGAGCCCAAAATTTATGTTCCTAAGTGAAACATTTGTTAAGTGAGTTTGCCCCCTTTTACGACCTTTCTTGCCACCGTCGTTAAGTGAATTGTTAAATTAGTAACACAGTTGTTAAGTGAATCTGGTTTCCCCAATTGACTTTGCTCGTCAAAACGTCACAAAAGGGGGATCACGTGAACCCCGGGACACTGCAACCGTCATAAATGTGAATCAATGGTGAAGCATCCGAATGTAAATCACGTGACTATGGGGATTCGGCAACGGTCCTCAGTGTGAAAAAAATTATTTATTTATTTATTTTTATTTTAATTAATTTATATGCCGCCCTATCTCTGCAGGACTCAGGGTGGCTCACAACAATAAAATATCCAATAAAAGGGTGTTAAAATACGTGTTAACCCCCCCAGTCCAGGCTGAACAACCATGTCTTTAAGTTCCGGTGGAAGGTGCGGAGGTCAGGGGCCAACCGGGGCCCCGACGGCTAGACAGTGTCGATTGGAAATTATTAATCATATTTCTATGCCGCCCACTCTCCGAGGACTCTGGGCGGCTTTCAACAATCGACAGTATACTAAATAGCATATTGCCCCCTAACAATCTGGGTCCTCATTTTACCCACCTCGGAAGGATGGAAGGCTGAATCAACCTTGAGCCGGTGAGATTTGATCCGCTGATCTGCTGAACTAGCAGTCAGCTGAAGTAGCTGCAGTACAGCACTCTAACCACTGCGCCACCTCGGCTCATAAGTAAAAATGGCCATAAGTCACTTTTTCCAGTGCTATTGTAACTGCGAACGGTCGCTAAGTGAGTTTTTGTAAGCCGAGGACATATATGTGACACTGTATATGACACCGTCTTTCAGACTTTTCTCTCTTTTCCTGTGGGCACCGCTAAGTTCCTGCTGCAGCTGGGAATTAAGCAATTCTCGGAGAACTCCAAGTTCTTGATTTCTCCACTTTGAGGATGATCATTCCTTTTAGAGATTCTTTTTCAATAAAAGGTCGGAGAAACTGGACCAAACTATCCTTCTCAGCATCCTAAACCAGTGTTCACAGGAGGCAATGAATGCTGGGAACTGTCATCTCACAACGACTAAGGCTCATGAGTTCTCCGTATCCAATCTCATCAGTACAATTCATAGGTACATTTAGTTTATATAATCACAATTCTTTTTTTTTGGTCTCTCTTTTTAAGAAAGAACTTCCTCCTTTCTACAGTCCATGGATGGAGATTGGCCACAGGTTGGTTTACTTGATTGAGAGCCATCAACTACGTTCCCAGGTCAAAAAGGTACTGAAATTCATTTTCACGCATGACATTTAGTCATAGAGATCCCACATTGTGCTTGATGCCCTAGGACACGGGTCTCAAACTGTGGGTCAGCGTTGCAACGCTGGCATAGAGAGAGAGCAGAGGAGAGCGAAAGATAAACTCTGAAAATTTTGCCTGCTAAATCCCTTTGAAGCCAGGTTGTCGTGAAAATGAAGGGAGGGGCCACATTCCTGGGAAATGACGAGGAAAAGAAGTCTGAAGAATGACTTGGAAGACAGCCAATGAGAAGCAGAGATTTGGGGATCGGAAAGGGAGGGATTGGGAGGCAAAAGGTCAGTCTTGTCCGCGCGGAGTCATGATCCGGTGGCTGAGCTCAATTAAAGAAAGATTTCCTTAAAGATTGGCAGTTTGGAAATTCATTTAATTTTGAGATAGCACCACAGTCTGACACTGTGGCAACTTTGCTGGCCGAGGAATTCTGGGAGTTGAAGTCCACAAGTCTTAAAGTTGCCAACCTTGGCAACTTTGCTGGCCAAGGAATTCTGGGAGTTGAAGTCCACAAGTCTTAAAGTTGCCAACCTTGGCAACTTTGCTGGCCGAGGAATTCTGGGAGTTGAAGTCCACAAGTCTTAAAGTTGCCAAGGTTGGAGTCTCCTGCTCTAGGAAGCCAGTTTCCTTTCTTTATTGCATGCTGGAGGAATGAATGTTAGGTTTTCTATCAGCCTTGTCTTTGAGTTGGGATGTCCACTTTTTACTTTTTATAACACCCTGGACCATTTGTGTGCTTATTCTCTCAGTGTTCGCCTTATTGATTAAAAAATAGAATACAACCTGGCAGGAGATATTTGATTTTGAAGTGTGAGGCAGGACAAAAAAAGAGGAAGAGAACAATTTTTTTTGCAAACCGCTGGGAAGATAAACAAAACTGAATTCTTTCAAAATATACCTGGAATAGTGAACCTTCTGATTTTTCCTCTGCAATGCTGCAAACGTTCCTGTAGATGGCACTTGTTCCACAGAAGAGAAAATAATGTTGCTTAGATTTCATATTTAAAATCTGTTTTCTGTTTATATGTAATACTGTAATTTACGTGTAATAAATGGCACATCAAAAGACAAGAGAAAGTAACAAAAACGAAATGGTGCAAAAAAGAAAAAGAAAACCAAATTTAAGAAATCTATCTATCTATCTATCTATCTATCTATCTATCTATCTATCTATCTATCTATCTATCTATCTAGCTAGCTATCTAGCTATCGATCGATCGATAGAATATATAGAATAACAGAGTTGGAAGGGACCTTGGAGGTCTTCTAGTCCAAGCCCCTGCTCAGGCAGCAAACCCTATATACCAGGGCTCAGCAACCTGCGGCTCTGGAGCCACATGTTGCTCTTTCACCCCTCTGCTGCGGCTCCCTGTCACTCAAAATATGCATCACAACCACCAATGTGCGACACCCACTGGCATGTGATTTATTGAGTTTTTCAACTCCCAGTAGGCCAACAATGAATAAATCCAAGAAAAGAAAAGTTTCAGAAGAAAACAGAACGTTTAATTCAACTACATATGCTAGTTTTGTGGTCGCTTAAGAAATAGTCAGGCACGGGAAGGGATTTGTGGCTCCCGGTGTTTTCTTTTCTGTGGGAAACGGCTCCAAATGGCTCTTTAACTGTTTAAGGTTGCCGACCCCTGTCCTAGTTCATTTTCATAGATAATTCTTGCCAGAGTGGCTGAGTGTCTAAACTGTGAATTTGCAGACAAATGGTTATCCAATCTCTTCTTAAAAGCCTCCAGTGTTGGAGCATATAAATAATTCCAACTTTCTTGCCAACAGATACTTACAACATTTTACAAATATTTTTAAAAAATCTCCTCATTTAGTCCCCAAATTTCCTAATCTTCAAATTCATAAATCATCAATTCCGTTTTTCCCCCAGCAAAAAGTGCATACGAGGTTTCCAGTCTTTCCCAAAAAAAAAATATTTTTTTGTTATGTGTTCTTTGACCAAATTAGCCCGTTTAGCCATTTTTGCAAATTCTGACATTTGTCAGAGGTGGTATTTGCTGGTTCTCCGAACTGCTCAAAATTTCCGTTACCGGTTCTCCAGAACCTGTCAAAACCTGCTGGATTTCACCCGTGGTCATAAGTCACTTTTTTCAGTGCCATTGTAAATTTGAACGGTCACTAAATAAATTATTGTTACTACCCGTGCAGCAATCTCTACTGTTCGCTTCCCTTCCTCTATGTTTCTTCCCTGTTTAACTATTCTTAAGGGAAGCATTCGATAATGAGGTGTGATCAGTGGTTTACATTCTACTGCTCGATGTATGATGGCTGATTTACACACCAACATGTTCACTCAAAGCTGCAGAAATCGAGTGCTAAATGCGCAAGCTTGTGGCTTCCTAGCCCTCAGCTGTTGCGTTGTGATGCGTTGGAGAAGAATGGGAGTCTTGCAGGCGTTATGTCAGAATGAAAGAGGCAAACTTATCAAAGTTAAATAGAAATGGAATGAGTTTATTGATCGGAGCGTGTATTCCACTGAAGATTTCAGGCAAGTATTCAATTGTGTTAAAAAGAGTTCAGATGATATGAAAAACTGCTTTTATGTGTTTGTTCTTAATGGAATAGTCTTTAGTGGAAGGAAGGGAGGGAGGAAGGAAGGAAGGAAGGAAAGAAGGAAGGAAGGAAGGAAAGGAAGTAGAAGGAAGAAGGAAAGGGAAGGCAGGAAGGAAGGAAGAAGGGAAGGGAAGGAAGAAAAGGATGGAAGGAAGGGGAAGAAGAAGGGAAGGGAAGGAAGGAAGAAGGAAAGGAAAGGAAGGGAGAAGGGAAAAGGAAGAAGGAAGAAGGGAAGGGAAGGAAGAAAAGGATGGAAGGAAGGGGAAGGAAGAAGGAAAGGGAAGGCAGGAAGGAAGGAAGAAGGGAAGGGAAGGAAAGGAAGGGAAGAAAAGAGAAGGAAGAAGGGAAGGGAAAGAAGAAAAGGATGGAAGGAAGGGGAAGGAAGAAAGGGAAGGGAAGGAAGGAAGAAGGAAAGGAAAGGAAGGGAGAAGGGAGAAGGAAGAAGGAAGAAGGGAAGGGAAGGAAAGGAAAGGAAGAAAAGGATGGAAGGAAGAGGAAGGAAGAAGGGAAGGAAGGAAGGAAGAAGGAAAGGAAAGGAAGGAAGGAAGGAGAAGGAAGAAGGGAAGAAAGGAAGGGAAGGTAGGAAGAAAGGAAGGAGAAGGTAGAAGGGAAAGAAGGAAGGAAGGAAGAAGGGAAGGAAAGGAAGGAAAGGAGAAGGAAGAAGGGAAGAAAGGAAGGTAGGAAGGAAGCAAGAAGGAAAGGAAGGAAGGAAGAAAAGAAAGGAAAGGAAGGAGAAGAAAGAAGGGAAGGAAAGGAAGGAATGAATTATTGGAGGCCTTCAAGAAGAGATTGGACAGCCATTTGTCTGAAATGGTACAGAGTCTCCTGCTTGGGCAAGGGGTTGGACTAGAAGACCTCCAAGGTCCCTTCCAACTCTATTATCCTACGTTCTATGAGGGAGGGAGACCGGGGGAGGAGGGGAAGACCCATTAATAACAATATTGTTTTTCTTTAACGCTTTTCTGTTTCGACAGATGCCTCTACTCAGCTGCCAGTACCTCCAAGGGCACCGAGAACTCTATTTGGCCCACCTGGTCCTCAGTTTCATCACAATGGGCTACGTCTGGCAAGAAGGTGAAAAAGAAGTCCCCAAGGTATTAGTCCATACTTGAAAATGTTGGTCTTTCTGAAGCCTGATATGACTCAGCAGTATCTGCAGAAAACCAGGAGGATGCAGAGGGTAAACCTGTTCTGTCCCCGTCTCACACATGCACACAAACAGTCAGCCAGGAGTTAAATAAAACTTGCAGACAATAAATTCCTTCGATAACAGGATTGGCAGCAATCCAGTAGCTGCTTGCTAAGAACTTTACTCACAGAGAATCAAAACAAATACACAAAGCCACAGAATTGTCAAGTCCAGTCCGTATTAAATCCAAGGCAGGCAGATAACGTAGTTTCAGAGATACAATGCGACTCGCTAGTTGTTTAGTTTTGTCCGTCACAGAGCCTGAATGGCCACCACACCCCCTTTTATCCCCTGTGGGGTGTGGTCCAGTGACTCAGCTTAATCTCTGGCACGCCTCCTTTTCTGCTGCGTGCGCTTGTCTCTCCGACGCTGGCGTGGATCCAGCCAAGACTTATCTTCGTCACTGTCCGACTGCGACTGCTCGGTGATACCTGGCTCCTGGCCAATCTCTTCTCTTTCGGAAGACACTTGAGGCATTGCCAGAGAGGAGGATCCTGGAGAGGGAGGCCTGGCCAACTCCTCTCCTTCACTTTCGGAGCCTTCTCCCTCCGATAAGAGGGGCTCAGGGATTGGAGTCACAACAAAACCCAGATGCAATGATGCCATCATGCAAATGCCACAGTTAAATAATGCTGGTTGCCAAGTGCCCAAATTTTGATCATGGGACTGTAGGGATGCCGCAGCAGTCATAGGTGTGAGGAGCAGTTATAAGTCACTTTTTTGTTGTAACTTTGAATGGGTGCTAAACGAATGGTTCTAAGTCAAGGACTACTTGTAGTCTTCTTCAGTGCTTTTATTTATTTATTTTATTTTATTGAATTTCTATACTGCCCTTCTCCCGAAGGACTCAGGGCGGTGTACAGCCAAAAATAAAACCATGACAATATAAAAATTAAAAACATTTTAAAACAATTAAATAAATTGGCCAAAAAACTCTAATAAAACAACCCATTTAAATAGTAAAATGTTATTATTATTTATTTATTATTATTATTATTATTTATTTATTTATTTTAGTATAAAATAAATACAGATAAATCTCCAGGAGACCTTAATGACCCTCTAAAAGGATGCCAATGTCCAGCTGTCTGCAAGGAGTATAGATCCTTCCATTTCCCACTATCCAGTCACAGCTGAAGAAGCTTCTTGGTTGAGAAGCGAAATGTCTTCAGAGAAAAACCAGAAAGTTAAAAAAGCACCTTTGGGACAACGATGACCTGGATGACTGAGAATCTCCCTAGACACTTCCTACTTCTTCTAACCATCTGGAACACTACTGAAACCCAGTAGGACACAGACTTAGGAGAGCTGGTGTTGACCTGCTGGTTTTGTCTTCCAGATCTTGCCGCGAAACCTGGCCATCCCTTTTGGAGAAGTCTCTGAAATGCTAGGTCTGCCTCCGATCATGGTCCACACGGATTTTGTTTTGGTGAACTGGAAGAAAAAAAATCCCCAGGGGTAAATCTATGGACAACAATATCTGTGCTTAATAGTTGGAGATCAATCGTAGCTGGAGCCATAGAAATGTCAAGCTCAGGAAATCGGGAATCCAAGTGAATGTATCAGTTTATGGCATGTTAATGCTCTCTAGAAGAATCTGAACTACTAACGGTCAAAGCAAATTGGCGGTACACAAGAGTCAGCAGAATTCAAGGTGACCTGTAGAAAAGAGTCAATCTCTGGTGGGCACGAAGGGAGTCGAGACTGATGACTGCTCTGAAGCAGTGGTGAAATCCCGATTTTTTTACTACTGGTTCTGTGGGCATGGCTTGGTGGGTGTGGCTTGGTGGGCATGGCGGGGGAAGGATCCTGCAAAATCCCCATTCCCTCCCCACTCCTGGGGGAAGGATATTGCAAAATCTTCACTCCCACCCCACTCTGGGGCCAGCCAGAGGTGGTATTTGCCGGTTCTCTGAACTGCTCAAAATTTCCGCTACCGGTTCTCCTGAACCTGTCAGAACCTGCTGAATTTCAACCCTGCTCTGAAGGGCTCGGAGATCTAGATTGCAAACATCTGGCTGGTGTACTCAAAAGTTTGTAGCCTAGATCTGCTTGGCTTAACCTCTGTATAGGAAATGCACCTGTGGGGGGTATGTGTTATTGTTAAATATGGACTTTACCCTTCAACTGATTTCATCTCTTGATTTTGCTTCCTTGGGTATGTTGGCGGATGTCACCGCAATTTCTCCAAGGCGTCTGGAAATTGAGTAAGTCTTTGAGAAGCCCTGTTTCTTTCTTTCTTTCTTTCTTTCTTTCTTTCTTTCTTTCTTTCTTTCTTTCTTTCTTTCTTTCTTTCTTTCTTTCTTTCTTTCTTTCTTTCTTTTTTTTGCAGGGCAAGATTGATTTAGTTATCACCCCTGGAGTCAATTTTCAGGCTGTTTGAAGTCAAACAGCTGCTGCTTTTAGGAAGTCAGTTTATGTTTACATTGTTTGCAGCTCCTATCTTTGCCAGTTATACTCCCACGGAATAGAAAACTGAGATTTAGGAGAATCATCTCTCTCCATCAAACAGCTGCTGGGTGGTAAGTTGTAGCTGTCCTCTGAAGCACAAATGGCAAACTAACCAGAAATGGTTTATTTAGCAAGTAATTGCTCACCTCCTTTCCCAGGCCATTACTGGAATCCAAGGTGTATTTGACTCTTTATTTCACGTAGCTTTGTTTTTCCTTGATTTACGATTCTTGATTGAAATTCTAATCTAGTGCAGAATGGAGATATGCCTTCAGTGGTTCTGGACCACTGTATAAGGTCAGCTAGAAATTACTAAACATCATATGACAATATGCAATATTGTTTTTCTCAGAATTCATTGTTGGAATGTATTTTTATGCAACAGCTACAATAGTATTCAGCCAGTAGATGGCAATGTTTACAAGCTTGGATCTATAGTATATACTCTATGCTCTTTTGTTCCTGTTTCCTGTTACAGTTAAAATAGATGAGCAGTAAAGCACATGGTGACTGTACTCTTTGTTTGCTCTGTCGTGCTATATATAAACTAACAGTATTTCTAATAATATTTCTAGCTACCTCCAAATGTAATAATAAAACAGAATATCATTAAACACTTAAGGAAATGTTTGATGCTGTTTACTGGCCAGATGGCCAAATTTTAATAAAAAATGAGAGAAGTTTTATCATCAATGATCTGCAAATAATGGGATTCTCTTACTTTTGGGATGAATTTTGATCACCAGAATGACCCACCTGGACCGCCATATCTCCAAGAAGTTGTGTTGTTAGAATATGTTAGCGTTTATAGCTTTATTAATGAGTTGACTCTATATCAATATATTAGTGCCTCTACATTTTCAGCTGTAGAGCTGACAGCCCGGGTTCGAGACCTGAGCTCCATGCAATGGGTGAGCTCCCATTACTTGCTCCAGCTCCTGCCCACCTAGTAGTTCGAAAGCATGCAAGTAGATTAATAGGTACCACTTTGGTAGGAAAGTAACAGCCCTCCGTGTGTCTTCAGCATATAGCCATGCTGGCTACATGACTATGGTAATTATCTTTGATAATTATGATGCCATGGTTCACGCAGTGGTTGGAATGCAGTACGGCAGGCTACTTCTACTGACTGCCGGCTGCCAGCAGTTCGATTCTGACTGGCTCAAGGTTGATTCAGCCTTCCATCCTTCCGAGATTGGTAAAATGAGGACCCAAATTGTTGAGGGCAATAGGCTGTCTCTATAAACCGCTTAGAAAGGTCTGTAAAGCACTGTGAAGCAGTATATAAGTGCTATTGCTATCTGGGCTGTCTAAAGCAATGGCACTCTAGTAGAGGAGTATCAGGAGGCTTGAGATAACTGCCAGGATGAGTCTCGTCAAACTTTTATGAACTGGCCAAGCGTTGTTGGAAGTTACAAAAATCAACAGGAAATGAAATCCTTTGGAAGCATTACATAGAAGGAGATTCCGTGCGCTGTAGTTGCCTGCCTCATTTCTTCTGGACCTCCAACCTCCCCATGCCCAATAGACTGAGTTGAGAAGGTATAGGCGTGAGTCGGTAGAGATTTTAGTTTGGAAAGCGAGCAACGAAAGTCACAAACCTACATTGGTTTCTACGATCCCGTGTCAAAGAAGGTAGTGCGGATTTTTTGAAGCATTCTCAAACCTTGCCAAGCAACAAAAGAGATGGTGCGCAGCTTATAAATCTGTTGTTTTGTACGCCTTGCACTTTTTCGGAGAAACAACCCCTCCCTTGAAAGCACTAATACATACTTGTACTTCCTTTCCTAGTCTTTTGATTTTGTTCTCTTCCCAGGAACCTGGAGCCCATAGTAACTTTGCCTGGAGGAACAAGTACAGTTGGGTTCATTCTGGTCAGTTTCCTAACTGAGAAAGTTGCCGCACCAGGACTCAAGGTCTAGTTTTCTCCTAAATTAATGATCAATGTTTGCTTTGGCTGTTTTTATGAGGGATCGAGGGGAACGTTCTGCAGCATTTTGGCTAAACTGAAAGCACGTTGAGTTCACCTAACAAGCTAGACTAGGTTAAAACAAGCTGGTGGCCTGTAATTTAGCAGACGGCGGGAACCCAACCAGCATCAACATAGTCATCACATTAAGTTCTACCGTGTTTTCTCGAAAATAAGACCCTGTCTTATATTTTTTTGAAACCTGAAATAAGCGCTTGGTCTTATTTTTGGGGAGGTCCAGGGGGTGAAATCCAGCAGGTTCTGACAAGTTCTGGAGAACCGGTAATGGAAATTTTGAGTAGTTCGGAGAACTATTGCTTAGTGCATTGTAAGCCGCCCTGAGTCTCCGGAGAAGGGCGGCATATAAATCAAATAAAAAAACAAACAAACTGGCAAATGACACCTCTGGCTGGCCCCAGAGTGGGGTGGGAATGGAGATTTTGCAATATCCTTCCCCTGCCACATCCACCAAGCCATGCCCACAGAACCAGTAGTAAAAAATATTGGATTTCACAACTGGGGAGGTCTTATTATTTTGGGGGGCATGGAGCTCCTTTTGCCATCTTAACTGATTTCCAGCTCTGTCTCCCTAACCCTAACCAGAGGATATGGCGGGGACCGGCTGCACATGTGGTTAAATATTTTCAGGGAGAGCTTATTTTTGGGGGGGTGGGCTTATTTTTGCCCGCTCCCCGACTGGGCTTATTATCAGGGGATGTCTTATTTTTGGGGAAACAGGGTAATACAGGGGTTTCAAACTTGATTTCATTGAGGGCCGCATCAGGGTTGTGTTTAACCCTGCAGGGTGTTGGGGTGGGCATGGATGGGATGGGCGTGGCCAGCTTGATGTCACTTGTGTCGGGGGCGCATGTGGTGGCCAAAACGCTCTGCCAGTGAAAACGGGCTCCCGAGCTCCATTTTCGGCTGCGACGGCCTCCTGCAACCCTCTGCCAGCAGAAATGGAGCTCGGGAAGGCTGCATGCAGGCCCTGAAACTTTATTTTCTTTTAAATGGGTCTGACAATCCAAGCTGAGTTGCCTGATTAGCAGGCAACTCAGCTGGGATCGTCAGAGCTTGGATCGTCAGAGCCATTTAAAAGGAAAAAAAAGGCTCTGATGATCGCGCGGCTCAGCTGGGCATGGGGGGCAAGGGAAGGGATTTTTGCTACCGGTTCTCCGAACTGCCCACCGCCTACTCGCCTGAGCTGGTCCGAACTGGGAGCATTTCACCCCTGATGGCGGGCCAGATCTAAGCACCCTGCAGTCCGTATCCAGCTCCTGGACCTTGAGTTTGACACCCGTGATCTAACCTTGACAAGTTGAGGAGGCACAGCATGTTCTGTGAACAAAGCAAAATGTGCTTTGTTCATCCTTGTTTAGAGGACATGAATCCAGCTACAGCTTACACAATAGAAACCTTGACTTTTGGGAACAAGCGAAGTAGAATTCTGCCTACGCTAGGCATCATAAACGCATTTCTCTGGGTGATCTGTAAAATGACTCAACGCGTTAAAAAATAATAATAATAATAAAGTCACCAGCAAAATGGAAAGCTATAATGAAGCCAATGGATTCCTGCAAATTCAGAATTGCTGGGAATCGGATGGCATGTAAGTGTCAGCTTTCGATGTCATCTCAAATAAATTGCATTCCCAAACAATTAATCTTTGCTGAAATCTTCCATTTATTGAGTGCGACAATCTGGCCCCGACTTCGTCGTAGCCGATACTAACCCTCTGACCCCAAACCCTTCCCTTTCCGTTCCCCAATTCTCAGCATCTCATTGGCCATCTTCCAAGTCAGTCTCCCCAGCTCCTGACTTCAACCCACAGGAATGTCCCCCCCTCCCATCCCATCTCCTAGGGGATATTATCTACAGAGAAAATAAGTAGGTGAAAAGTCAAGCCTCGTCTTCTCCTCTTTATGGCAGCATTAAAATGCTGACAGTAAGTTTTAAACACAGCTCTCTTGTTTTCGGCAGGCCATTGCCAAGGCTGTGAATGGACTTCTTCAGCCAGATGACAAAATCCTGGCTGAAGCGTTGCAAGAACTGACAAACACCCTTCAAGAAATGACCAAAACTCTGAAGAAAATACATGGTAAGCCTGTGAGCCACATACACTTAAATATAGACAGAGTGTAAAGGGACTTGGGAGGTCTTCTAGATGAATCCCCTGCTCGAACAGAAGCCTTTATACCATTCCAAATTGGCTGTCCAATCTCTTCTTCGTGAGTTGGCAATAATAATTAAAAAAAATCATATTTAGAAAACGTCCTCTTTAAGAGAATATTGATGTTCGCAGCAGACTAAAGTGCTGTTAAGGAGCACCAGCTGCCTGCAATTACTGCAAGTTCAAATCTCACCAGGCTCAAGGTTGATTCAGCCTTCCATCCTTCCGAGGTAGGTAAAATGAGGACCCAGTTTGTGGGGGCCATAAACTGACTTTGTATAAAAAGCTGACTTTGTATAAAAATAAGCTGACTTTGTATAAAAGGGACACCGCTTAGGGGGCCCCGAAAGCCCTACTAAGGGGCCCCTGAAAGCCCTACTAAGCTTAGGGGAGCCTTGGTAGTACAATGGTCTAAGGCACCCTGTTATTAAGACCAGATGCCTGCAATTACTGCAAGTTCAAATCTCACCAGGCTCAAGGTTGACTCAGCCTTCCATCCTTTCTAAGGTAGGTAAAATGAGAAGCCGGATTCTGGGGGCAATAAGCTGACTTTGTATAAAAATAAGCTGACTTTGTATAAAAGGAACACCGCTTAGGGGGGCCCGAAAGCCCTACTAAGGGGCCCCTGAAAGCCCTACTAAGCTTAGGGGAGCCTTGGTAGTACAATGGTCTAAGGCACCCTGTTATTAAGACCAGATGCCTGCAATTACTGTAGGTTCGAATCTCGCCAGGCTCAAGGTTGACTCAGCCTTCCATCCTTTCTAAGGTAGGTAAATTGAGGACCCAGTTTGTGGGGGCAATAAGCTGACTTTGTATAAATATACAAAAGAATGAAGGCTATTGCTTAACGCATTGTAAGCCGCCCTGAGTCTCCGGAGAAGGGCGGCATATAAATCAAATTTTTTAAAAAAAGGGGGGGGCAAAAGCCCTACTTAGGGGGGGCCGAAAGCCCTACTAAGCAGGTATATACAAAAGTATGAAGGCTATTGCTTAACGCATTGTAAACCGCCCTGAGTCTCCGGAGAAGGGCGGCATATAAATCGAACTATTAAATTGAACTAATAAAATAAATAAATAAATATTAAGGTTTTGTTCTTCACAGTTCATCGATTAAGTCTGCACATTCTTCTTTGCAATTGATTGGGTGCTTTCAGAATGATTCTTTAAAAATATATCAGCCGTACAAAGAATGTTTAGCATTCAATTCAAGGTAATGTTATAAAGAAGTTGATACAAAAAAAAAAAAAAAAAAAAGGGCAGATATTCCAAGTCACTTGGGAATCAGCACACACTGATTCAAAACCTTTGGCAAACTGGTATTTTCCATTGTTGCTGTGACTTTGTCTCTTTATCATTGATTTGTTTGTTCAGGTCTTTTTAGAATGTGCCCCCTCTGGTATGTACTTATATAGCAATAGCCCTTAGACTTATATGCCACTTCACAGTGCTTTGCAGCCCTTTCTAAGTGGTTTACAGAGTCAGTCTCTTGCCCCCCACCCCACAATCTGGGTTCTCATTTTACTGACCTCGGAAGGATGGAAGGCTGAGTCAACCTTGAGCCGGTCAGGATCGAACTGCTGGCAGTGGGCAGAGTTAGCCTGCAATACTGCATTCTAATCACTGAGAGGGAGGGAGGGAGGGAAGGAAGGAAGGAAGGAAGGAAGGAAGGAAGGAAGGAAGGAAGGAAGGAAGGAAGAAAGAGCAATAGCAATTAGATTTATATATAGCTTCATAGTGCTTTTACAGTCCTCTCTAAGCAGTTTACAGAGTCAGCATATTGTCCCCAACTATCTGGGTCCTCATTTTACCCACCTTGGAAGGATGGAAGGCTGAGAATATAATATAATATAATATAATATAATATAATATAATATAATATAATATAATATAATATAATATAATATAATATAATATAATATAATATAATATAATATAATATGGAATAGGAATAGGAATAAGAATAGAATAGAATAGAATAGAATAGAATAGAGAATAGAACAGAATAGAATTAGAAGTAGGATGGAGGATAGGAATAGAATAGAATAGGAATAGAATAGAATAGAATAGAATAAGTAGATAGATAGAATAGAATAGAATAGAATAGAATAGAATAGAATAGAATAGAATATAGAATTAGAATAGAATTAGAAGTAGGTGGAGGATAGGAATAGAATAGAATAGAATAGAATAGAATAGAATAGAATAGAATAGAATAGAATAGAATAGAATAGAATAGAATAGAACAGCAAAGAGAAAGAGAAAAATATAGCCCGTGGATTTTAATGGCACCTGAAGTGCGCAGGGATTATTTTAGTAATAAAATCATTTTGCTGAATCTTTCCTCCAGGGTTGCTCAGGGGAGAGCCTTAGAAAGATCTCTAGACAAAGAGCATCCGTATTTGTGACAGCAAAGAGAGTAAATCTTTACCGCTGGAAAAGAGCCTTTGAATTTCCCTCCGTGCTTGACAGATCTCAGCGGCTTCTGAATCCCAGTACTGTGGCTCAATATTGTTGATTCATTGCTTGGTTATTTTCTTGGCCTTTTGCAAGCCTTGATATCAACAAAAGCCTCTGAGGTTGTAAGATTTACCCACCATTTAGTTCCGTAATTATCTCTTGCGATTAGCGAAAGCGATCCCACTGGGACTAGAAAGGAGGCTTAGCCAAACGAATAGAATTGATTTTCAAACGTTGGCCTCTCTCCTAGGCAGTCCTGCCTTCCAATCTCGGTGCTGCATTTGGTTCACATCTCAAGGTCGATAAATAAATAAAAATCTTAAAAAGGCAGAGTGCTCCATTTCTCACAGGGAGCAGAACCAGAAACAAGTCATAGCTTGTACCCTGTATAGAAAAGGAGTGACAGATTTTTGCATTGAATAATATAACATCATCCTCATCTTCATTTTAATGAACCCATAATCCCATGCGGGGTGGATTCTGGGCAACTGAATGGAGGTAGCAGAGTGTTTTAATGGCCGGATGCCCTTCCCTGTCACCAATGCGGAGTTTTGTTCAGCAGATATATTCTCAGTGTGCCCAGAGAGAGAAATATCAGCCTCTATCTAGGATTGAATAATAATATAATTTAACATAATATAACATAACATAATAGAAGAATAGAATAGAATAGAATAGAATAGAATAGAATAGAATAAGGAATAGGAATAGGAATAGAATTAGAAATAGGAGAAAATTAATAAAATAGAATAGAATATAGACTAGGAATAGAAAATAGAGCACAGTTGAATAGAATAGAATAGAATTAGGAATAGGAATAGGAATAGGAATAGGGAGAAAATTACTAAAATAGAGTACAGAATGGAATAGAATAGAAAATAGAGTACAGTTGAATAGAATAGAATAGAATAGAATAGAATAGAATAGAATAGAATAGAATTAGGAATAGGAATAGGAATAGGAATAGGAATAGGGAGAAAATTACTAAAATAGAATACAGAATGGAATAGAATAGAAAATAGAGTACAGTAGAATAGAATAGAATAGAATAGAATAGAATAGAATAGAATAGAATAGAACAGAATAAGGAATAGGAATAGAATTAGGAATAGGAGAAAATTAATAGAATAGAATAGAATAGAATATAGACTAGGAATAGAAAATAGAGCACAGTTGAATAAAATAGAATAGAATTAGGAATAGGAATAGGAATAGGAATAGGGAGAAAATTACTAAAATAGAGTATAGAATGGAATAGAATAGAAAATAGAGTAGAGTAGAGTAGAGTAGAATAGAATAGAATAGAATAGAATAGAATTAGGAATGGGAATAGGAATAGGAGAAAATTAATAGAATAGAATAGAAAATAGAGTACAGTAAAATAGAATAGAATAGAATTAGGAATAGGAGAAAACGAATAGAATAGAATAGAATAGAATAGAATAGAATAGAATAGAATAGAATAGAATAGAATACCCAATTCTTGCAACTGTTCATCATATGTTTTAATCTCCAGAACCCTAAAATTATCCTTGTTGTGCTTCTCTGCACTCTCTGTCTCACAGCACTGCTGTTCAGCCACGTACCACCATTTGTGTATTCGGTCTTTCTTGCCTAAGTGTAAAACGTTACGTTCATACTTAACCTTGCACTCATTTTAAGTATATCCGGCAAACTGATCCAATCTTTATGTGCTCTTGATTCCTAGATTACGTTGATCCTTCCGTCTTTTATGGAGTGTCGAGGATATTTTATTCTGGGTAAGTACAGCTATATTCCTTTGGCTTTAAAAGTATTTTCCAAGCAGAAGAAGCAACTGTTTATTGAAAAAACCCACAATGCCAACTGAATTGGGGGCTTTCCTTGTTCTCCAAGAATTGACCCAAACTTCTGTACCGATTAGACATGGCAAACAAGGGATCCTTCTACCGTTTTCCTTTGGGATGTACTATTCCTTTTCACAATTTTCAGAGCATTTATTCTCAAGGGATACATATGGCTACAAAGCTCTCCTATCTATTTGGGAGGGGTATTTTAGGACTAAACGTCCTTCCTTCCTTCTCCTTCCCCCATTCTCTCTCTCTCCTTCCTTCCTTCCTCCTTCCTTCCTTCCTTCCTTCCTTCCTTCCTTCCTTCCTTCCTTCCTTCCTTCTTTCCCCGTTTTCTCTCCTTCTTTCCTTCCTTCCTTCCCTCCTCCCTCTCTCCCTCCCTTCTTCTTTCCCTCTTTCTCTCTCCTTCCTTCTATCACTTTGGGAGGGGTATCTCAGGACTAAACTAACTTCCTTCCTTCCTTCCTTCCTTCCTTCCTTCCTTCCTTCCTTCCTTCCTTCCTTCCTTCCTTCCTTCCTTCCCCCTTTCCCTTCCCTTCCCTCCTCCCTCCTTCTCTTTTCTTCTTGAGCAACCATTCATCTCACCCAATCCTTTGGTCTGCATTTTCCATTCACATATATGTTTTCATACCCCATTATGAAAATAAACCCGAAGATATATTTTCTAAGAAAAACTCATTTATTTGTTATAAAGAAAATAAAACTGACTTATTGGCTTACTGGCTAATTAACTACATCTTGGCAAAGCTTTCCCAGCCACCTCTCTTGGCCGGAGAACAAAGAAAAGAAAAAAAAAAAAAAAAAAAGGAAGAAAGTGAAAGAATGTGGACATGCGCAGTTAGCTTAAAGATAAGAGCTCTGATCAGCTATGGTAAGTCTTAGAGTTCAAAATTAAAAGCTCATCTGGTAAACACAAAAACGCACTGACAGACCCTCCCCAAACCACCATCCTTCAGCGTGAGAGGACAGATTTCAGCACAAAAGCTGCCTTCATTTGTTGCTCCACTTCGAACATGTGAACTGTGCAGGATTTGCATCGGAATCTGAATTAGACGAGTGCCTTCCTGACCTCTTCGACTCCTTACTGTTGCTTTGAGAAAGCGCCTGGATCAGAAACGAAGGAGGAGAAGGGAATGAAATCAACCCCTGAACCAGCACATCCTCAATCCAAATCTTTACGGCCACTTCTCTTGCACAAAGCATGCCAAGGGGGGAGGGGGGGGCTTGTTAATCTCTTCCTTAATGTTTGGTTTCCCAAGGCCACATTAGCTAATTGTGTTGCCTTCACTTAATCAAGGTCCCTCATTAAACCTTCATTAAAATTCGGATGTGTTGAAGCGGGGGGGGGGAAGAAATGATACTTAGAAGGAAGTGGAGCTTGACTATAAAGCAAAATTTTCCCTTGGGGCATTGCAGAATCCCTAAATGACTACAAAGGGAACTTGTTGCTTAGATCACCAGTGTAAAAGTAGGTTACGAGACATCCTTTGTGACTGACACAAGATGAGGCTTCTGCTTTAAACGCTGAACGAACGCGAGAAAAAAAAGCCCTAGATTTATTTTTAGGCTGGCACCTCAGCAAAAACAACGGATTAGCCTGTCAACCCCAAGTGACTTCAGTTGTCAGATTCTCTTTGTCTAAACCCAAATAAAATTGCAGTGTTTGCAAAGTGTAGTAAAATACGTCAAGCTGTGGCAATCACAGTGGTGTGACCAGAGCTTTGGTAGTACCGTTATGTCCACCATCAACTTGACTTTTTAAAAAAACATTTTGTGCGGACACATTTGAAAAATTGTGTTGCCTGCATTCAACAGCAATGTTTGAAAAGTAGTTGTACCGTTAGGAGAACGGGGGCCCATTTGGAGCGAGGATGTGTTTTGTGTAAAAAGTGAAACAGGTGTATTAAAGTTTATGGAGGATGAAAGCATCCGTGTTGCTTTTCCCCCAAATAGAAATAGCCCAAATTTGAAGGCGTATAATGAAAGGCAGAGAATGCATGTCTTAAATATTACAAAATTCTGCTAAGCGCTATCAACCACCCAGATCCACAAAGAAGGCAGAGAAGTTGGATCTTGTCTTCTCCCGAAGGTGCTTTTTTTCAGGAGGCAACTGGACTTTTTTCTTTCGAAGACGTTTCACTTCTCATCCAAGAAGCTTCTTCAGCTGTGAGTAGTGGATGGTGGGGAATGGAAGGATTGATATTCCTTGCAGACAGCTGGTCGTTTGCATCCTTTTAGAGGGTCCTTGAAGCACTTGGAGGTTTACCTGTGTCCTTAGGGTTACCTGAGTAGTGCAAATGGTTCCTGTAATCTGCCATTTTTTCCTCTGGAAATCCATTCCTACTCCCACACTATTCCAAGGGTGTTCGTCCAAAATTGCATAGCTAAAAGTCTGTAGAGATTCTCAGTCATCCAGGTCATGGTTGCCCCAAAGATGCTTTTTTCAGGAGGCAACTGGACTTCCTTGTTTTTTTTTACTTTTGAAGACGTTTCGCTTCTCATCCAAGAAGCTTCTTCAGCTCTGACAGGATGGTGAGGAATGGAAGGATTTATATCCCTTGCAGACAGCTGGTCATTTGCATCCTTTTAGAGGGTCGTTGAGGCCATCTAGACGTTTGTCTCCGTCCTCAGGGTCACCTGAGTAATGCAAATGGGTGTGGATACACCCACTTGCACTACTACACAGATAAGAATAAGAATAATTTTATTTCTATACCGCCCTTCTCCCGAAGGACTCAGGATAAACCTGCATGCAGCCTCAACAACTCTCGAAAGGATGCAAATCGCTAGACCGAATCTCTACAGTCTTCTCCATTTCTGTTCTAGGGGCTCAGAGATTGGGTGGCCACGAAAGCTGTCACTCTCTGCCTTATCTTGAAATAGCAAAGAAACTCGCCTCTGAGCATCAGAAATAAAAGGAGCGTCTTCAGCTCCTCCGTGAACTTTATTGTGATTGCTGATTGGCATCGAAGAGATGGAGAACGTCGGCCCCCAATGGGGTTCTTCTCTCTCATTCCCTCGCTTCTCACACAATAATGTCTGAACAGAGGCTGTGTGCGTTCACAGTACGTGGCGCATCTCCTCCATGGTTACCTGTTGCCAGGCAAAGAGGCGGTGGCATATCAAATGCAACCTCACCACCTCTTGAAAAGGGCCCCCGTTGCTTGGAGAAATGCCTCCCTGCAACTCAGGTCTTCTGAGCAGCTGCTAGGAAGGCAACTTATGTTTTTTTTTTTTTTGCTCTGCGTGAGCATTTGAATAAAAGGGCAGCCTAAAAATAGACTTGCTTGTTTCCCTGGTGCTTTGGTAACATCTGGCAAGGAGGGCAGGTGGCACAGGTCAGCTAATGAGCTGCAGACACAGCTTGAGTCTCCTACTCTGCGGTTGATCTGTGGCTCTTGAAATGCATCACTTGGCAGAGGAATTGTGGGCTCTGAAGTTGCCACCCTCCTCCTCCTCCTCCTTTTGCTTCTTCCTCCTCTTATCTTCCTCCTCCCGCCTCCCCTCCTCCTCCTCCTCCTCTTCTCCTCCTCCTCCTCCTTCTCCTCCTCCTCCTTCACCTTTCTGTCGAGACACCTGGTCTACCCCAACATGTGGGAGGGAGGATCCTGCTTCCCTTTCGCCTTTCATTTTTATACCATATTCTATGCATCGTTGATGCTACCTAACCTAATGGTAAAACACCTTCAGAAAAACAGCCAAGCTCAGAGAATACAACCCAACAAGACAGACACAGACTTCAATGGATAATTAGAACTGCAGAAAAAACCATGGCTACCAACCTGCCTTCCATTGAGGACCTGTATGCTGCACGAGGCAAAAAGAGGGCTGTGAAAATATCTACAGACCCCTCGCATCCTGGACATAAACTGTTTCAACTCCTACCCTCAAAACGACGCTATAGAGCACTGCACACCAGAACAACTAGACACAAGGAGAGTTTTTTCCCGAACACCATCACTCTGCTTAACAAATAACTCCCTCAACACTGTCAAACTATTCACTAAGTCTGCACTACTATGAATCTTCTCTTCCTTACTAGTATTTATCTCTTCCCACTTATTACTATAACCATGTTGCTTGTATCTTTCAATTATATTGTTTTTATTTGTTTCCTAGTACGATTTGATAGCTTATTAGTAACCTTGACTAATCACTAAGTGTTGTATCTTATGATTCTTGATGAATGTATTTTATTCTCCTTATGTACGCTGAGAGCATATACACCAAAGACAAATTCCTTGTGTGTCCAATCACACTTGGCCAATAAAGAATTCTATTCTATTCTATTCTATTCTATTCTATTCTATTCTATTCTATTCTATTCTATTCTATTCTATTCTATTCTATTCTATTCTATTCTGATTTATGTTGATTGCTTATTTAGTATCCTATAGCTGTCACTGAGTGTTGTATTTTATGATTCTTGATGATTGTATTTTATTTTCCTTATGTACACTGAGAGCATATACACCAAAGACAAATTCCTTGTGTGTCCAATCACACTTGGCCAATCAAGAATTCTATTCTATTCTATTCTATTCTATTCTATTCTATTCTATTCTATTCTATTCTATTCTATTCTATTCTATTCTATTCTACTCTACTCTACTCTACTCTACTCTACTCTACTCTACTCTGATTTATGTTGATTGCTTATTTAGTATCCGATAGCTGTCACTGAGTGTTGTATTTTATGATTTGTGAACATGATTTATCGCTTGTTGCTTGTATGTACACTGAGAGCATATGCACCAAATTACACCTCGCCAATAAAGAATTCTATTCTATTCTTTTCCAGTTGGAAAGATAACCCTGTGTTACCAGAAGGGTTGCTGTACGAAGGCCTTTGCGAACAGCCTCTGGAGTATTCTGGGGCCAGCGCGGCTCAAAGCTCCACCCTGCATGCCTTCGATGAGCTGCTTGGCATCCAACATCTGAAAGAAAGTGGTAAGACCTGTCCTTTGCTTGCCTTTAGATCCGGCGTTGTCTATTGAAATTAGGATAACACATAAAATGGCTTTTCCGAATCTTCCAATTGTTCTGATCCAGCTCCCAAATAGGACAAACCCTCTGTAGTTAAATAAATGTTTCCTTTATTAGGAGCGCCAGCAGCCCCGGCAAAAATATCTCTCTCAACGCAGGCTAACAAGTCCATCCGGCAGGGAGATGAATACTTGTCTGCCACATCTATTCATCTCCGCCCCCTGCCTTTTATCCCCAGAGTTCGGGTGGGGCTTTGCTAGCAGCGGTGGCTTTTCCGTCCCAAGGACCGGCCCATAGATTTCCACTGTTCTCCTCTCCTCTGCCTTCTGTGCATCAGGCACTGGACCCAGCTGTTCCTCCTCTTCCTCATCAGCCACCTCCAGACCTGGAGGCTGTTGACTCTCCATCTGACAGCTGATGGACGGCCCAGGCTCTGCCTCCCTCTCTCTCTCTCTCTCTCTCTGCCAGCTCCATTCCCTCTCCCCCCTTGGATCGTCAGAGCTGGGATCATCAGAGTTTGGCTTGTCAGAGGCATTTGAAAGAAAAAAAGCCTTTGATGATCGCGCGGCTCAGCTGGGCATGGGTGGCGGGGGCAGGGATTTTTGCTACCGGTTCTCCGAACTGCCCGCCGCCATCGCTACCTACTCGCCCGAGCCGGTCTGAACCGGGAGCATTTCACCCCTTAAGTATGGGAAGCTAGAAAGATTGTGAACTGCAGGAGAGACCATTAAAGTCAGGGCATTCATACCAGTGGTGAAATCTGAACTGGTTTACTACCGGTTTGCTGGCTGTGCATGAGCAGCGCACATCATGCACACCAAAAGGAGGCATGGGGTAAGTAGAACAGCGTATGTGTGTGTGTGTGTGTGTGTGGGGGGGTGATCAGCTCTGGTGCGCGATTTTTTTTTTTAATTTTTAAAAGCATTTTTTTTTACTACTATTTGGCCGAATAGGTTGTAAAAAAAATGCTTTTAAAGATGACGGAGACGTCTTCGGACAGCGCTGGCTCTTCCTCTTTGAAATGGAGATGAGCACCACCCCTTAGAGTCGGGAATGACTAGCCCATATGTGCGAGGGGAACCTTTACCTTTTAAGAGACAACAGAATTTGAGAGGGATTGGATTTAGATTGTTTATGGGAATGTAATGACTCTAGGCTGATGACTTGCTTCATTCCATCCCCTAGCTCTGCTTGCTCTTTTCCTACATCAGCTTTGTGGGCTAGAAATTATGAGGGATTTTAAAATATCTAAAGGGCTATTATTTTTTTAAAAAAAATTTGATTTATATGCCGTCCTTCTCCGGAGACTCAGGGCGGCTTACAATGCGTTAAGCAATAGCCTTCATACTTTTGTATATATATACAAAGTCAGCTTATTGCCCCCACAAACTGGGTCCTCATTTCACCTACCTTAGAAAGGATGGAAGGCTGAGTCAACCTTGAGCCTTGGAGAGATTCGAACTTACAGTAATTGCAGGCATCTGGTCTTAATAACAGGGTGCCTTAGACCATTGTACTACCAAGGCTCCCCTAAGCTTAGTAGGGCTTTCGGGCCCCCCTAAGTGGTGTTCTTTTTATACAAAGTCAGCTTATTTTTATACAAAGTCAGCTTTTTATACAAAGTCAGCTTATTGCCCCCACAAACTGGGTCCTCAACTTACCTACCTTAGAAAGGATGGAAGGCTGAGTCAACCTTGAGCCTTGGAGAGATTCGAACTTACAGTAATTGCAGACAGCTGGTGTTAATCACAATGCTATTAGTCTGCTGAGCCACCAGGCCCCTATTTGTTGAGTAGACTGACTCAACCATTTCAAATTGCCTTGAAACTCCACTTATCCATTGCTTTGGTATCTTTTACCAGCTGCGTTTTTGCATAGGATGAGAAAATACATGCCTCCTCATCATCAAGCCTTCATTGAAGAAATCCGGTCTGTCCCTCCACTGAAGGATCACGTCTTATCTTCTGGAAACCAAGACCTTCAGACCACGTACAACAAGTGTGTAGCTGCTCTTTCTGAGCTAAGAACCTACCATATCACCATGGTCACCAAGTACATCGTCATAGCAGCCAAAAAGGCCAAGAACAACATTTCTCAAACCACAAGGCCTCCATCTTTCCTGGAAGGGATCGGGACTGGGGGTTCACGGGTTCTGAAATTGTTAAAAAGTGTCCGGGACACAACAAAAGAAGCTATGATACAACTCTAAAAGATTTTCCTTTTTGGTCAAGGTAGAGATTAAAGTCATGATTAGGGAGCCCAAGTCAGCCAACATTTCTTGATATATGTATATAGTAGGAGTGAGCAACTCTTCATACAGACTGTCTAAAGCAGGGGTGTCAAACTGGATTTCTTCGAGGGCTGGATCCGCATTGTAGTTCTCCTCCATGGGCTGGCGGGGTGAGTGGGTGGGGAGCAGGGGGGAAACGGGATGGACGCTTCCTGCATCACCCTGCCGGCCAAAATGTGCCTCGTTTTCGGCCTTCACAGCCTCCTGCAGCACTCTGCTGGCCAAATCAGGCCATGCGGAGGTCCCGCGAGGCCCCCACATGGCCCGTTTTTGGCCTCCCTGGCCTCCTGGACTAATCTGCTGGCCAAAAATGGGCCGTGCGGAGGCACTGCGAGGCCCCCGCGAAACCCATTTTTGGCGTCCCCGACCTCCAGCAGGGGAGACCAAAAACGGGCCACACAGGGGCCTTGCCGGGCATCCGCATGGCCCATTTTGGCAGGCAGAGGTACCACGGGCTGATCCTTTGATATTTCCAGGCCAGCCCTGTGGGCCAGATTTAAGCACCCCAGGGGCCGGATCCGGCCTGCGAGCCTTGAGTTTGACACCCTTGGTGTAAAGGTTGAATGATGGTAACTGGACCAATCTTTGTTCATCTGAGATGCTTCGTTGCTCAAGCAAGCAATTCCGTCATTCAGAGCTACCGTATTTTTCGGATATAAGACGCACCTTTTTCCCCCCTAAAAAGGGGGTGAAGATTTAGGTGCTTCTTATACACCGAATGTAGCCCCGCCCACCCACTGGCCCCCACCCTTTGGCCTCTGCCTCCCAGCAGTTTACCTCCTTGCAGCAAACAGCAAGAAGAAACAGCTCGTTTCAGCTTCAGCACAGCCTAATTAGCACAAGTTGATTGTCCCTTGGATTGGCCTCCCGGCTATCAGCTGTTTTGCGCAGGGCTCTGCTGCTTGCTGCAAGGAGGTAAATTGCTGGGAGCAGGTTTTTTTTTTTCTTGTGCTAATCAAGCTATGCTGAAAACGAAAATGAAAGTAAAGCAGGCTGTTTGCTGTTTGCTGCAATGAGGCAAAATTGCTGGGAGGCAGAGGCAGATTCCTTTTTCTTGTTTTCCTCACCAAAAAAAGGTCTTATAGTCCGGTGCATCTTATACTCCAAAAAATATGGTAACTTAGTTAGGCAGAAAGTCAAAGAGTTGTTGAAATGTACCAACTCTTACCATGCGAGCTTCAGCGGTTTCTCCCCAAAATGCAGGGCGATATGTCAATGAAGACCCCATCCTCCAGGCCAAAGGGGTCTAAAGGTTGAATCCTGGTAATTGGGCCAAACCTTGTTAACCTGAGACAATTGATAGTTACTGTATTTTTTGGACTATAAGATGCAACGGACTATAAGACCTAAATTTACAGGAGAAAAACAAGAAAAATAATAGTTTTTGGTTTCTGCGCGTTGGATTTTCTGACAAATGGCCGTCTGGTCTCTTCTTGAAAGCTTGTAAGTGTGAAGACTGGTTGTAAATCATTTTTCTTCAGTGCTGTAGTACGTTTGGCCCCCCAAATGAAGAGTTGTACATAAGTTGAGGATTACTATATATTGGTAACTTGCGAGGGCTTATGTGAAGGCTCATGTTTTTCTTTGAACTTATGTTTCTCTTTGAGAGATAGTACCGTTCTAGAAGAAATGCTTAGTACGTTGAATTTGACAGCATGTCTTAAATTCCTACCTGTGTTTCTTCCCAGCCATTTTGAAGCTGTCTCCTTTCTTTTTTTTTTGCTCCCCCCCCTCCCCGATGTTTCAACAGACAGCTTCAGAAGTTCCCATATTGGCAATGCAGCCATTTATCCTGTGCAATATCAAAAAATAATAATAATAATTTGCTTTCTTTCCAACCAGTTATTCTTCAGGCATCTTTAGACAGTCCCTGCGGCTGGATGGGGATGCTGCAGTAGCTAAATGTAAAATTAATGTTCTGAGACCCGGAGATTCAATTCTGCGCCGGCAATTTCCCCGGCAGATAATACGCAAACCTGCTTGTGATAGGCAAATCGCGGGATGGTTTATCTGCAGGAAACCTGAACTGGGGCAAAACTGAAATGAAAAAAAAAAAATATTCAGAAGAAAATGAAATGGGAAGTAAAAATCAGCACAGCCCCCACACCAATCGCTTTTCATTGAGGAAACTTCACATCACATATTTTGCTGGTTCTTTGCCTCATTTCACATGCATGTTCTATAGCAGTGATGGCTAACCTTTTTGCCGTCGTGTGCCAAAAGCAGGAGAAACGTGGTGTGTGCGTGTGTGTGTCATGTGCGCATGTGCCCACACCCATAATTAAATGCGCCCTGCCCCCCACACATTAGTGTGTGACCCCTCCGTGCTCCCCTTGCTTTTGGCTCGTGATGGTACGTTGGGCCTGGTAGGCCCGTTTTTCGCCCTCCCCAGGTTCCAGGGGTTTTCTAGGAGCTTGGGGAGGGCGAAAACAGCCTTCCCCACCACCCCAGAGGCCATCCATAGGCCAGAAACAGCCTGTTTCCTGACTTCCAGTAGTCCCAGAAGGTCCGTTTTTTGCTCTTCCCAGGCTACAGAGGCTTTCTAGGAGCCTGGGGAGGGCGAAAACAGCCTTCCCAATCCTCCCGGAGATCCTCCAGAGGCCGGAAATGGCCAGTTTCCTGTCTTCCTGTGGGACCGGAAGGCCTGAAAATCAGGTGGCCGACGCTGGAGCTGAGCTAGGGCAACGCTCGCGTGCCCACAGATATGGCTCCGCGTGCCACCTGTGACACGTGTGCCATAGGTTCGCCACCACGGTTCAATAGTACCACATCCATTTTCACTATTTAATTTAGTTTGGGGAGAAAAAAAGACCTCATTCAGTAAGCCCCTAAAACAGTATTTTTCAACCTTGATAGGTTGAAGCTAAGATGGGTGGACCTCAACTCCCAGAATTCCCCAGTCAGGGTGCTCTATCACTGGAGATTTTTAAGAAGAGACTGGACAGCCATTTGTCTGAAATGATATAGGGCAGTGATGGCTAACCTTTTCGCTATCACGTGCCAGGAGTGGGGGCCTTGGGGGGGTCATGTGCCTATGTGCCCACACCCATAATTCTATGTCCCCTATGCATGTGCGTGCAACCCCCCCCCGCTCCTGGCACATGATGGCCTGGTAGGTCCTTTTTTCTCTCTCACTTGGCTCCAGAGCCTTTCTAGGAGTCTGGGGAGGGCCTTCCCCACCCACCTGGATGGAAACTGACCAAGGAGAGATTCAACCTGGAAATAGGGAGAAAGACAGTGAGAACCATCAACCAGTGGAACAGAAGTTGCCTTCAGAAGTTGTTAGAGCTTCATCCCTGGAGGCTTTCAAGAAGAGATTGGACTGTCATCTGTCAGAAATGGTGTAGGGTCTCCTGCTTGAGTGGGGGGTTGGACTAGATGACCTGCAAGGTCCCTTCCGACTCTGTTATTGTATCTTCTATGTTCTAATACAATATTATACAAAATTATACTTTTTCTTCACTGCTTCATTTTTCAGAAACATCGCTCAATAAATTCTAGGTCTAGGGAGAATTGCCTGTTGCTAAACATTATTGATGGTATAAAAAATTCTCTTAGAATAATTCCCCCACCGGTACATAAAATCTACTTTTCCCTTTCCTTCCCTGCTACGAAGAAAAAAAAACGCTCCTGATTGTTGTAAGTTTTAAACAGTTTTAAAGGAATGGTAAAACAATGAGTCAGCTCGTTAATCTAAGTTTCAATTAAAAGACACCGAGGCTGTATATCTAATTACATTATTCCAAAGCGATGACTTCATTATACCTGATGTTCTTTCTCAAAATAGGTCCTTTAGCGTGTGAAAAATGTAAATCGATCTCCAGCATTCTCCAATAGGCGTTGCAATTTTCTGAATTTAGAATCTTTTTGCGTTTGTTTGTTCCTGTTATCTCCTCGGATGGATGTGACTCGGTGCTACCTTCGTGCTGCTTAAATAATTTCTGATTTGGAATGATTAAATATATATATACAGTCTTCTCCCCACCCTCTCCGCAGCTGGTTGAAATAGATACCGTTGCCTTCTATTCAGTCCACAATTTAATCATTCTATATGGTTGCCGTGTGATAAATTATCGACCGTAACTTTTGCACTTCACTGTGGATCACAGCAACTGAACTCCCTTGTGGGTTGAAGCAACATAAATAAACTCTCAATTTCTCCTCCAGCTATTCATCCATCTGGAATGATATCAATAATCAAGCAGTCCTGAATGTGAGCAGTCCAATTGTGAACTCCTAGAAGTTCACAATTCAGCTGATTTTCTGACTGCTATGTGAAATGTATTCTTTTTCTTCTTGTGCCATATAAATAAATAAATAAATAAATAAATAAATAAATAAATGAATGAATGAATGAATGAATGAATGAATGAATAAATAAATAAATAAATAACTTTATTGTCATTGTATGTGTATACACAGTATACCCATTCAACGAAATTCACTTAACACTCAAAGATCAGCACACATAACAATCCCCAAACACACTCCCACCCACCACAAATTCCCCACCCCTGAGCCACCCAAACATCCACACAACAGACCAAGAAATGCTGTCCAACAGCTCACTGATGGTGGCCCTTTAGTTCATTGCTGAGTGCAATTATAGCTCTGGGATAATAAAAACTATTCAGAAAACGTGTGGTCCGAGTTTTAATTGTTCCGTATCTTCTGCCAGAAGGCAACAGTCCAAAAAGATTGTTAGCAGGATGGGAAGAGTCTCTGAGAGTGTTATGCAACTTCCTCAAACAATGAGATTCGAAGATGTCGTCCAGGGCTGGTAGCTGGAGTCCGATGATATTCTGGGCAGTATTAATGATTCTCAGTAGAGCTTTTTTGTCCGCTACAGAGCTGCTCCCATACCATGCAAGAATGCCGTATGTCAGGACACTCTCAATGGTGCTACGATAGTAGGACAGATGCTGAGATAAATTTATCTTCCTGAGCATCCGTCATCGGATGTTAGCAATCATGTTGGCAAACCTATTTTCATCTACAGCCACACAAAAAAATGCTGCTGAGTTTTGTCCAAACCGGTCCCTTAGATTTTGAAGCCGTGATGTTCTTCTGCCTGGACCTCATTTGCCTTCAGTCGTTCCTTGGAGGATTAAGTGAAGGATGCTGTATTTTTCCAGGTGTCGCATCACATGTCCAAAATATTCTTTCGCTTTTTAGTGGTTTGGATGATTTCCCTTGGCTTTCCCAGACAGTTTATCACCTCCTTATTTCTGATTTTGTCAACCCAACTTATACGTAACAAATCAGGGATGAAATCCAGCAGGTTCTGACAGGTTCTGGAGAACCGGTAGTGGAAATTTTGAGCAGTTTGGAGAACCGGCAAATGCCACCTCTGGCTGGCCCCAGAGTGGGGAGGGAATGGGGATTTTGCAACATCCTTCCCCTGCCGTGCCCACCAAGCCACATCAGGCCCACCAAGCCACGCCCACAGAACCATTAGTAAAAAAAATTGGATTTCGCTACTGCTAACAATCACCTGTGAATCCACATTTCAAATGCTTCTAGTGCTTCTTGTCTGGACCACCTCACAACTGTGTGATTAAACCAGGGGTCTGCAACCTTAAACACTCAAAGAGCCATTTGGACCCGTTTCCCACAGAAAAGAAAACACCGGGAGTCACAAAAGCTGGGTGGGCGGGGCCAACTCAACGTCACTCACTTCCACCAGTCACATGACCCCCCTAACCACGCCTACCCAGCCAGTCATTAAGGCAGAGAACTGGTTGTTAAAAAACACTGGGAACCACAAAACCCTTTTGACATCTCTCTCTCTCTCTCTGTCTCTCTGTCTCTCTCTCTGTCCCTCCCTCTCTCTCTGTCCCTCCCTCCCCACCTCTCTCTGTATCTCTGTGTCTCTGCCCTGGCGGCTTCTCCATCCCTTGCCGTCGCCCTTCTCAAGCTAGGCGAGGAGTGACTGGGAGGGGAGGGCGAGGGGCGGGGCCAGCCAGTGGTGGGATTACCCGACAGGGAGCCACAGCAGAGAGCTCAAAGAGCCGCATTCGGCTCCGGAGCCGCAGGTTGCTGACACCCGGACTAAACCATCATCTCTTTGTTTACACATGTCCCATATGATTATGGCGGCCATCTTGACTTTATTTTACTCCCCCTTCCTTGAGGACTCTTCCAGTTCAGCACAGAACCACCATTTTTCAGTGCTTAAATTTCCACTCAAAGAGAGACTTCTAAGGACATTTTAAGAAAATGAAATAATTTATCAATTATCTACACATCTCCTTCCTTTATGATCCCCATCTGTAATTTCCGTTAAAGAACTGGCTCAAAAAATGCTTTTCAAAACCATAGAGAAAGATGTTTTATCGTTGTTGTTGTTGTTGTTGAATAAGAATTTTTAATTCTATCCCCGGGGCGGAATGTGTTGCAGTCATGTTTATTTTATGAATAAACTGATGTATAAATAAATAAATTGATGTAACGTATATTTAAATTTATTGCTGTCCCTTTCCCCGAACATTTACCGGCGTCCCCATCTGTTAAGTTCATCCTTTATTTTTGGTACATGAGAATTTAAAGCTTGCAACTGTTTTCATGTTGAAAACTCAGCTCCTAATTATCCTGCTGACATTTTGTTATCTTCAAATATTAAAACTTCCTGCCTGATGAATTCCTGTAGTTCTGTAAAATAAAAAGGTTGGCTTGGCTTAATTGATGTTAACTGTTCTGTTCTCAGATGATATATATACATATATATCAGGGGTGGGTTCTAATCGGCTTTACTATCAGTTCTCTTTGTGTGCGCGCTTCGTGTGTGATTGCCTCTTCGGTTGCGCGCTTTGCACGTGAATGGAGATTTTGCAGTATCCTTCCCCTGCCGCGCCCACCAAGCCACTCCCACCAAGCCACACCACTCCCACCAAGCCACACCCACAGAACTGTTAGTAAAAAAATTCTGATTTCACCACTGGTCTGGCCCAGAGTCACCCATAACTGAGGGTTGAGCCTGAATCTGAATTTCCTTGGTTCTAATGTCTATGGAGATTCTCAGTCCTCCATGGTTGTCCCAAAGGTGCTTTTTCAGGGGGCAACTGGACTTTCTGGGGGGTTTTTTTGTTTTGGAAGACGCTTTGCTTTTCACCCAAGAAGCTTCTTCAGAAACATCTTCAAAGAAATGAAACGTCTTCAAAGAAAAGAGAAAAACCAGAAATTCCAGTTGCCTCTTGAAAAAGGAACTTTGGAACCTTG